AGGTGGAAGTATTACATTGAACCCGTCAAAATTCTGATCGTTGAATCTAACAGGTAACACAAAATACTTGTAGGAAGAACAATGACGTGATGGATACGAAATATTGCGTCATCTTCGTCTCCCCCCCTAATTTACACGGAGAATGAATAGTGCGTCGAATCTTGATGACATCTGCCGAAAATTCGCTGATGACATTGCTCCATAAATTGCTGCAGTCTTACAAGCAAAAGGAGGCCGATTAATTACTACTTAATAGAATAAAAAGCTTCTTTCCTAAAATCATTTAAGTACTAAAATCTTATTGCATATTTTTTGATTATATTAACAATCTGACCACAAAATATTTTTGTTTTCCTGTTGTGACCTTGCAGAGTTCTGGAACTGATATGTTTTATGAACATTCAAAAATAACGCTAAAAAGAAAGCAATGAACTTTAATGGCAAAAACTCAAATGAAACTTAACTAAATATTACCGCCACTAAATCTAATGGAAAAATTAGGGTCTCATCTTCCTGCAAAGCAAACACTTTCCTATTTAAAGCAAAATTGGCATTTTAGGCAAGAGGAGATGATGCTTAAACTTTAAATGAGTACTTTTTACACAATTAACATCTTCTTTTCCCGAAATTCTTTTAAAATTTATATAGCAAAATGATATTTCAGTCAAATAACCGAATACTCTACATTGGCTTGATTTTTATGGAAACGACTAAAAAAACTCCTTTGAACAACTGCTTCTCACAATGGATCCCAGAACTCCTATCAAGAAATCTTTGTCTACTCAACGTAAAACCAGTTTTTTGGAGAAGGAGGAAGAATGATAAAGTAAGATTATAAATATAATTGTAATTTAATTAGTTTTCAGTAATGTAAATCGTTATATAAGAACGACTAATTTCTATTTTTCTCCCTTCTTCCACTAAAATATGATGCATTAAAATATTTTATCATTAACTTTTGATGAAAGATTTATTAATATTTCTGCAAAATTTTGGCACAAAAGCTAACATATAAGAGTTAAGTGCATTTTTTAATTATTAATATGTTTAAAAATAAATCAATTCTGGAGCATTAACAATTTGAATTTTTAAATTATAGAAAAATCTTATAGATTTTACTTCTCAATACTTGATTTTTAAAAGTTAACATGTAAAGATTTCAACTCAGAGTTTTCATTACAGTGCATTTCACAAACTATTTCTTTACTTTCTCTTCACACTGAAATTATTGAAGACAGTGTTATGCGATATAAAAGATAGACTTAGTCTTGTTAAGGTCAAATCAGTCAGTCATGTTAAATCATTTGAAACTTAAGACTAGCAGAAAGTACAGGTGGTTGCTGATACTGAAAAGTTTATGGGTACCTGTCACTGCAATGGTACACCACATTTGGCCGAGGTATGTCTGATTCAAGTAAAAAAAAATTGAAGGGTATACAAAGCCCAGTTGTGCTAAAATCAGTCAGTCTCAAATAATTAAGCCTTATCATTAAACAAAAAGTATAAAAGCTTGTATCTGCCATCACGCAGCTCAGTAAAGATTAGATCCTGAATTTAGATCTCATAATATTGGAAACTAAAATTTTTCTTAAAAGAATGATATAATGTAGCTTACCTCACTTTTATTAAAATTTATTTATTCATTTTATATTAGTATCAATCAAATGCTTCACTGCATTGAATTACTAAGCTATCAAATTTAAATCAATGTTTTACGGAATGCAGAGTTAACAAAAAAGGAATTATATATTTTTTATTACATTATATATTTAATAATATATATATTTAATAATATATCATTATATATTTTATGAATTATATATTTTAGTCATGAACGTGCAATTTTTTCTTCCTATCTAACCTGCTTCAATATGAATATTTCACTATGCAATTTTTAGTTAAATCAGACAAGAATAGAAATTATCATAATTAAATACTGTATATTAGAAATTATTGGGCATACAGTTTTATAATTTTTGATAAAAATTGACATTCAAGTTAAAAATATATTTTACTCATTCATATTCATCTATAGTGCATTTTGTTTTAATTGCTAGTAACAATGTTCAATATTTTATAGATAAAATTTATAGAGAAATTAAGGTCACAAAAACATATAATAAACTCCCTCAGAATACTGATCTTAATAAAAGCAAGAAAATATTAAAGGCATTTGCATTGAATAATGCAATGACAAGAGTTTTATTTTAATACTATAGCAGTAAGTATCTCCTATGGTTATTACTTTTAACAAAAGCTCAGACTACAACAATATTACTTAACACAGGGTCCAAGCTCAAGAAGATGGAAAATAAAATTTTCAGATAACTATATTTTAATGGCATTATAGAATGTTTCCTTTTGCAGTATTTTAAAATGATATGAACAGATAAAATTTTATAAAACCACTAATTAAAAAAATATTAAACTGTTAAATTTAGAAGTCAGTTTTCTCCCTATAGCTGCTTATAGAATTACTCCGATATTATTTTTTTCCATAAATAACAGAAAAATTTATTATCATTGAAATCCTATAAGTTTCATAGTATACCTTCTATTGATCTTAAAATATCCCCACTGTACTTCTATTTAGCAAAACATTTACCCCACCAATATAATTTAGAAAAATCTATTTTTTCTATAAATTGGCTTCTATCCGTTTTATGCATTTTTCCCCCTTCCTAGAAATAAGTTCTCGAATATTAAAATTATAAAATTTTATAAATTTCAGCAATCAGTATTGCAGTTACAATATGTAAAATGCTGCAATTGACTGTAGCATAAAAATTTAAATTACTGTCAGAATGAAAAAGCTATAACATTTTCTTTGTGAAGAATAACATATGCAAAGAATGCATGGGCATTTTTAATTGAATATTAAAACTACCTGAACATCAACAGATATAAGTTATTACAGTCAAAAGTCGTTAATTCGGACACCCATAATCCGGACCTCAAAGCTAGAAACTTTCTGCGCATGCGCCGCGTTGATATATGCGCATAGGCGTTTACGCGTGCGTGCAAGACCTTTTACCACTGCGCATATTGCGTGTGCACAAGCACAGAATACGTTTTCGCATGCGCGTTATATGTATAACAGACGGTATAATCTAAAATTATCTAATTATCTATTTCAGTTAATGTTGATGATTGTGTTGTTCCTTAATCTTCGAATTCGATCCGGCTTATTATTTTTTGCAGACTGTAAGAGCAATTTTATAAAAGTAAACTTGAACTTTCAATTATGTCAAATAGAATTTCCGATTCTGGAGCTCCCAAAGGATCGTACAAAACGAAAGTATGTTTCGATGTCCATCAAACAAAAAGTGGAATTGCTGCAAAAAATGGATAAAGACATGAAGAATGTGACAGAGAGGTTATTGAAAACGAAAAAATTTCGATTGACAAGTTAGTCGGTATTCTCGGCACAACAATTAACGGGACTTGAACAGCAAAACTTTGTAACTGAACAAGAAATTGTGTCTGTTTATAGAATTAAAGAGAAAGTATTATCACATAAAACGAAGCAACTTACATTAAAGAAATGTTTAATAAAGTAAACAAATAAGTATTAAGCTTTTTTTTGTAAATTTTGATACCCTTTAGATTATAATTGTTCTTTATTTCATAAATTAAGGTTTCATATTTTTAATTTTAGAATTTCTGCATGCCATCTTACGAGATTTAAACTGATGATCTATAATCCGGAATCCAGATTAACCGACGAGTTAAGTCCCGACGAGTCCGGATTAACGACTTTTGACTGTACTCAAATTATATCTGATGTTTTACATAAAATGTTCTTTCCTATCAGCAATTTTATTAAAAAAGAGAAAATTTCACTGATTTTTTCATGGATGTTTCAAAATTGGTTTTTATTTGCATTACATTTTTAAAGAATATATTGATTTAACTGTAAAAAACAGGCAATTACCACACTGAATAAATTGACTGTTTAAAAAGTCTTTAGCAGCATTAGAAAAATGACAGAAATTCTTCTGTACTTCAAAATAACCACTAGAAAAAAAAAAGGTGGGGAGATTACTTCTTTTCAAGCTTTTGTCACTTTGAAAAATATTCAAACCTAACTCTATTAATTTTATTCTTAGAAATATGAATTATAAGGTACTCGGAGAAAATTTTCTAACACATTTTGGGAATATTTTTTCAAAACAAAAAGGGATACACTATATAAAAATATTTTATATATATTTATGAGAGTCAAAAGTATTTTAGTGTCAAATTGTTTATACAATAAAATACCGAATACTGCTAGTAGACAAGACGAGATTTCGCAGATAGTGTGAAAAGTTTTTAAAAAAATTATAAGAAATCTTTCTTTTTTTGTCGCCTTCTAATTAAAAATGTACCTCAACAAACAGCAAAACTTATGAAAATTCTCAGATTCCTTCCTCATTTTTCAAAGTAAGAACTCTCGAAATTTTGCAGCCATTAGCTGTTTTACTTTTTAGTATGTTTGCTTTCTGTAAATTTCAAAGAGGGAAAATAACTTTATGCTGTTAAATTTTATTCTATGAAAACATTTCATACAGAACAAGATCATAAAATTGGACAATTATAAGAATACAGCAAAGAAAACTATACGGTATTCTAAATAAATAAAATATCTGAGATTAATAAAATGTTTTTGATAGGATTATACAAAGTTATTAGTACACAAAATATGACTGGAATGTTTAAGATACATTTGAACGTTGCCAAACATTCATATTTTTTATTCACTTTACAGTTAAAATATACTTGTACTTCATCTAAGTTATTTACGTTTATGCTGATTTAAAAACAATAATTTAATGTTTATGTTGACGGTAACAGAACTACGGCAAAGTTTAAAATTTTCAAGTCAAAGCGTCTGTTTTATCGAATAACGTGTTTATCCCATTTCTCTGGTAGTTAAAAGTTACAGTTCTTTCATTTTAGACAAAGTAATATATCTTTACAACGACTCTAGAAAAAAATCAACATGAATTACTGCTCACCTTGTGGTCAGGAGACATTGTCAGTGATGGGTCATGGAGTTCATCAAGAGTTGGACGATTAAGTTGCCCATGGATTGACATTACATTTCTGTAATGGTCTACTCGAGGAAGAGCTTCTCGGGTATAATGTCTTAAACTTCTAACATTATGAGTATCGTATCTGTCTCCATCTGATCCTGATGTAGTTTGGTTTTGATCTGTCAAAGGTTGTCTTTCCGCAGCATCAGCATCGTTTGCAAATTTACACTTTGGAGTATCAGCAGCAAAATCTACTTTTGCTACTTGAAAACGAGTAGTTTTAGGGTCTGTTAATGATGTTTTGCGTTCCATTTCTATCCAGTCATCACCAGAAGCCATTAGCTCCTTGTCTACATTTTCCGACTCAGCCATCATGAAATGAAAACACCGGCTTCAGCTTCGAGTTTCCGCCACAAACAGAATACTCAGTCACTTTAAACTGCATCGATTCTGCGCACAGCGTGGTTTCGCGGTTTTGCAGAGCATTTGCAGTCACAATCAAAACTTTTAAATAAAATCTTTTAAAATTGTTCTTGAATAAATTAAATTTTAAAATTAATGGCCTATAATTATTAAAGTCTTACAGTGAAACATTATTTTAAATATTTCTTTTTGTTACATTGAATAAAATGTTTGGTCCTGAAATTTTTTGAATTTATAATTTGAAAAGAAACCGTTACAATAATTGTGACTTTAACAAACAGAATTTCTAAAATATTACTTCAATTTATTAAAAATTATTTCAAAATTTTTAAACGTTTTCTATCTGGCAATTTAATAGATTATTGCCTTTGATCTCTCAAGAAGAAGGTATCTCGCGAACGGAAAGGTATCAAGAGCATCGGAAGGGCAAAATATAAGAAACACGCGTACAAAACTTTAGTAAAAAATGTTTCGAAATATTGGAAAATTCGCTATACAGAAATTTCGCTCAAATGTACTTTATAATCACATGCGTTATAATCCAGGTTGGTGAATCATTTAGTATTTCTGTGGTTTAAAGCAATAGTTGTTGCCTATAATAATATATTTCTTTTTTATGACTTTATTAGTATTCTTTACACCCTCCTTAACTTATTTTATAAAGTTTCATAAATGATGTGTTTCTAATAATCATCAATAATACGTTATGAGCCGATATAAATATATCGAATAAAAATGAAGAAATAAACTCGGAGTGTTCCACATATCTGTGACATTCTGATTTATTTAATTACGAATGTTTTTCGACATTATTTGTACTAAGGTAAAATTAGATATAAAGTAAGGTCTGGAGTTTTGTAATTAATTCGGCTGTATTTCATTTTGGGATGCTTTAGAAAAGTTGTCATGCAGTTAAGTTTTGAAGGGTCTTCCAACATTTTTAAACGATCTAAGTAGCCGTCAGAGCGAATTCTGTAAAATATCTTGTGCTACATTTACTGCTAATTTAATTATCAAGCAAGCATTGGAATTGGTAGAGAAAGAAGTGTTTCAGAGAAACAGAGGCTTTTATTTTTCTTTTCAGTATCTTTGAATATTACACTCTCAAAAAACCTTTTATAGCAATTTTGGAGAGTATATCATGGTATAGATTTCAGATACCTTAGTGATATTGTTTAAATACATTTTCTATTTTGTGAACCTTATCATATTAGATTTAAATGTAGAAAAACATTATCTGCTAAAAATATGTAATTATCTTCAGCAAAATATGAATGCATTTGCTAAAAGTAATGTGTTTTTAACGGATGCTAACTTGCTGTTACTTTAGTTATTTGAAAACCACCAACAACTCTCATTCAGCTATTAAGAGTCAAAAGTAAGGAAATAAAGCAGGATTTATAGTAATTTTTGGTAAAATCCTAGGAGAGTCCACCCTTGGCGACAAACTGGGAAAGTGCAGAATCACCCACTGCTTTGCGCGTTTCGCAAAATCGCCGACTTGAAAATAACAAGTAAAAAAATTGGACAAACTCGGTATCCGTGTACACATTGACCTATTTTCACTTTAAAAAAATCCCAGAATTGCACAAATTTCTGTCTAAACCTTGTCGATGTACACAGCGATACACACCATATAAGTGGGCGCGGCAGGGGTATGGGCTCTGCTAGGATCCAACCTAATTTTTAAATAAGGATTTCATTTTTTTTGGGGGGGGAATAGTGATGTTTACTTTTTTAAAGTGTTTAGTAAGTGTATCTCATGTTTAGTCACATCATAAGCCTTGATGGAATCTTCAATGTTAAAGTAGCTTTTGCATAATCTTTAGTGGCGTTTGGAATTTCTTTGTTGTAGATTGGATGGCTGGCAAACTCAATTGCATAATCATTTTAACAAGAAAGTGTTGTTGTGTAATATATTCAAGAAACATGTTTGTAAATATGTATAGAAATAAATTATGTGTAGTATAGAAATAAATTATGTGTAGTTTTAAGTAAATATTTCTTCTGAATAATGTTTGAAGCAGAATATATATCTAATTTTTGTGTATTAAAATTTGGTAAAACTATATTTTAGGGTACCCCTCGGCGATTTTTAGCAGAACATGAATACCGAGTTTGCGCAATTCTTTGACTTGTTACTTTGTACTGTGTAGCGCAGCGATTTTTGGTGCAAGAATTGCTGCTATGCAAGCCAAAATAACAAGTCAATGACGCACAAACTCTGTATCCATGTACACATCGACCTATTTTCACTTTTAAAAAAAATCTCCGAATTGCACAAAAATGGCATTGAACACTTCTTTTACTTTATCCATGTACACGTCAACCTATTTTCACTTAAAAAAACATCAGAGAATTGCACAAACTATGCTTTATGCACTTCCTTGAGTTTGTCCATGTACACATCGATATATTTTCACTTAAAAAGTCAAAGGAGCACCCAATTCTACAGTAAAGACAAACAAAAAATACATAATCTCAATAAACTACATTTTAATCAAAACAATAAAATAACACAAGAAAGGAAAAACCTGTTATGTATTTTAGCACTACAGAAAGCAAATATCCCCTTACCGTATTTAGAAGTTCGTTCATCTTGAGTCTGTGGCACTCAAAATTCCTTAACAGCATCCAAAAACTTCCTAAAATTATCTGAACTACAATCCGTATATTGGCGTCACCACAGAAATTCACAAAAATAAGAGTAAAAAATATACTACGTAGTTTCTGGACAATGGCTACTAAGTAAACCTTCATTTACACACCAGTCAATTAATGCACTTTTCCCTTTTCATTCCAAATCGTACAGAAACTTCAAGTTAATCCTACTACATTCAGCCATTGTACCGTCTAAACAATGAACAGGCAACGTACCTCCTAAGCAACACACACCACAAAAGCCCTTGCAAAACATCCCATGATTCAAAATTTCCCAGAATAATGTAAAACGATTATGTCATAATAGGGTTCTGTAACATTCAACTACTCAGGTTACCATAAATGATACAACTTGGCGATAAGCGAAACAATAAACTTCGCGATAATACAAAGTGTACCTGAAAGTCAACTCTAACCTAAAATTTCATTGATATAGTAAATTAATCTCTATACATTTTGATTACACACACCTATTCTAAAAAGCTGCCATAAAGAATTTGCTTGGCATCTCATGATGGTGCCGAAAAGTATTTATGTGACATTTCAGGTATGTACGTAGCATTCTCCTCCTAGACAGCTTTTTTTTTTTGGTTAAAATTTCATAATCAGGGTGAGCGCCAAGCTTGGCAAGAGTCTTTACTTGGCACGATTTTAATTTGGTTGTGGTTTCCGACTGCATGTTTCCTTGTGGCAAACCTAGAGCTTTATTTTGGTAACTGTAAGAGCGCGAATTTAGTGTAGCCAGATTTTTTTTTAAATTTAATTTTGGGGTAGAGTAGACTTTAAGGTACCCCTTGTATTATGGCGAAGATGTTGTTTGATTTATCGCCAAGTTTTTGTTTCATTTATGGTAGCACGAGTAGTTCAATGTTATGGAAACCCTATTGTGACGTAATCGGGTGCATGATTCTGGAAAATTTTGAATCATGGGATGTGTTGTAAGCCTTTTTGTGGTGTGTGTTGGTTTGATTCTTTAGACGGTAGAATGGCCGAGTGTAGTAAGATTAATTTGAAGTTTCTGTACGATTTGGAGCGAAAGGGGAAAAGAGCTTTAATTGACTGTTGTGTAAATGAAGGTTTACTTAGTAGCCATTATAAGTGTCCCGTATGTAGGAAGGATATGCGTCTAGTCGAACGTAAAAACTGTTTAGATGGATTTGAATGGGTTTGTAGAAAGAAAGGTTCAGATGGTCACTATGTGAAGTGTTCGATCAGAAAGAGTACCTGGTTTGAAAAAAGTCATTTGAGTATGATTGATATTTTGATTTTTACAGGGATCTGGGTGTACAAAGCGAATTTGAAAATCATGGTAAGTGAATATTTGCTTTTGGTAGTGCTTAAATGTATAACATGTTTTTCCTTTTTGATGTTATTTTATTGTTTGGTTTAAAATGTATTTTATTGAGATTATGTACAGTCAAAAGTTGTTAATCCAGACTTGTCGGGACTTCCGAATGTCGGCGATTCCGGATTATCGATTTTTCTGGATTATAGATCATCTGTTTAAATCTGGTAAGATGGCATGCAGAAACTACAGAATTAAAAATATGAAACCATAATTATGAAATAAAGAAGAATTATGATCTAAAGGGTATCAAAATTTACGAAAAGAAAGAGCTTAATAATTTATTTGTTTACTTTATTAAAAATTTCTTTTAATGTAAGTAGTTTATGTTGCTTCGTTTCATGTGATAATAATTTCTCTTTAATTCTATAAACAGACATAATTTCTTGTTCAGTTACAAAGTTTCACTGTTCAAGTCACGATAATTGCTGTGCCGAGAATACCGACTAACTTGTCAATCGAAATTTTTTCGTTTTCACTAACTTCTCTGTCACATTCTTTGTCTTTATCCATTTTTTGCACCAATTCAAAGATTAAGGAACAATGCAATCATCAACATTAACTGAAATAGATAATTAGATAATTTTAGCTTATACTTTCCGTTATACGAGGGCCATCCAGGAAGTAGATTACGTTTCCGTCTGTGTCCGCTAGGGGCGGGGCTAGCGCGGCCATCTTGGGTCAGAGCGTTGCGCAGCTCAGTCTGCATCTAGCCGTGCTAGTGAGAGGTTCGTGCTGTGCTCTGTTCAGATACTGTGACGGTTTGAAATGTCTGCGTTAATTGAAAATCCCGCGAGGTGCGCTCAGTAATAAGGTTTCTGACTGCAAAAAACTGTAAACCGATAGAAATCTATCGGCAGCTTCGTGAAGTGTATGGGGACAACATTATCACTGAAGGTGGAGTGCGTCAGTGGGTCATAAGATTTCAAAAATGGCCGAACCAATGTTCACGACGAAGATCGAAGTGGGAGACCCCAGCATAGTGACCCGCCGAACTTCTCGAAAAAGTCGATGCTAAAGTCCGTGAAAATCGAAATTTCACAATAACGGAACTTTCTTTCTTTGAGTTTTTTTTCCACAAATTTCGCGAAGTTTGTTGCACGAAATCATCAGCGAAAAGCTTGGTTACCACAAGTTTGTGCAAGATGGAAGGCAAGAAGAGGTAACGAAGTGGTTGAAGGCGCAGGCGGCCGAATTTTTCGACGAAGGAATTTCCAAGCTCGTACATCGCTACGATAAATGCCTTAATTTGTATGGTGACTATGTAGAAAAGTAGTATTTGAGTGTGGCTTTCATCTGTATATAATAAAATTTGTTTCCTATACTTTGTTTATTTTTTTATTCCAAAACGTAATCTACTTTCTGGATAGCCCTCGTACATAAAACGCGCACGCGAAAACGTATTCTGTGCTTGCGCACACGCATATGCGCAGTTGTAAAAGGTCTTACGCGCACGTGTAAAATGCCTATGCGCATGTGTCTATGCGGCGCATGCGCAGAAAGTTTTTAGCTTTGAGGTCCGGATTTTATGGGTGTCCG